TGGCTGGGGGGGGGGCGCGGGGTGTTCTCGGGAAGAAACACACAGATGTCTGTCCGTCGCCCCTGCCCTGGCATCTTTGCTGCTGTGGCTCTGTTCTCTGTGACGTCCCCGCTGGTGGTTCCTTCTGATCAGTGAAAAGAGATAACACGGTTCCTTGGTGGCCTTTTAAAATGAAAGGAAAACCCCACTTCCCTGCTTAGCCTCCCACGTGGGCTGTGGGAGTCCACGGAAAGCGCCTTTAGTTAAAAGCTTGATTTATGGCGCATGGTAAAGAGATTCCGGAAAGTGAGGAGCCGAATCCAGGCCGTGAAAACGCAGCTAACTAGCAAGCGCCTGCCAGGGGCCGTGGGTGGGAGACGGTTTATTGGCGTGTTCGCGGTGGTTGCCTGTAAGCAACTTAATTACCAGCATCAGTGGAATATTTTTAAATTAGATAAACAGGAAACCCTGGAATTGAGAAAGAGTATCCGACAGGGAAGATGATTTGGGACCAAAAAGAAAAAAAAAGTGATAATCTGATCGCGCCGAGTTAGTCTCAGGGCCGGGGACTCTTGAGATGATGCCTGTTGGTGAGATGTAAGTGGCCGAGGACGCTCTGGACAGACAGGTTCTAACCCATCCCCCAAACCCTAGTCTTTCTCCTCCCAAACTGCTAAGTTTCTTCTGTACCCTCCTGAAACTTTTTTAAAATGCTGTGTTCTCGCCCCGCCGAGGCCGCGTCCCCACGTCGGACTCCGTAGGCCTCGCCGAGGAGGGCGGTGATTTTCGGGGACACGTCACCGCAGCCCGGACACGGCTCTTCACCCGTTTTGCTCCCTGGGTTTCTCCTCTCCGCTGACCTGAGTGGACCACACACTGCGGGTGGGGTTCTGGGGACCCCGGGGGTCCAGTGAGGACGGGCCGCCCGGCTGGGGCCTGAATTGTCTCACTGTGGGGCTGACTTTTACTGATTTCCCGGCTCTCCTTGCCTGTGGTCGTCAAGCACAAGTTCCCAAAGCGGTGAGCGAGGATTGCTGTGTCTTCCTGTGCGAGGACTTTCCAAACGGCGCCGTGAGCTTTGACAACGCCGGTCCCCTCCTGCACCCACAGCACAGGCCCCGGCTCTCAGGGCAGGCGCACTCGGGGGAGTATCTTTAGCCGAACTTGTTGCTGAATCTTTCGGACCCTTCTCTGCGGAGGGAGCTGGAGATGCCTGGGCGGCTGGTGGTCACTGCGGAGGCCCTGGCTGTGGCCTCCGGTGGGCCTGGGCCCCACGGGGCTCTGCAGGGGCCCTGGCCTAGTCCCTGTGTCATTAGTGGGCGTCGGGGTGGATTCCACGGGGGTTCACAGCTGCCCTCTTGCATTTTCCCTCCTTGCTTTTTCCATTCGTCTGTGCAGCCCAGGTACTTGGGCGTGAGGCCCGAGCCTCCTGGAGCCTCCACGAGGCCTCTCTTAGCTCCACAATCAATGACTTCAGTTCCTTTAAAATTTTTTTTACCACGCTCACAGTGGATGAACGTGGCTGCGTAACAAAGTTTAGGGCCAACTCCCCCGCCAGGACTCAGACGGCTCAGAAATGGATGCATGGACACCTTAAAAGATAACAGGAACCCTGCGTTAAACATTGCCTGCTTCTTAATACTGAAACCACTGGCGCATTTGTAAAATGATTCTCCCGCCCTCCCCCTACGTATTGGTCGTCGCCTCGGGTTTCCAGTTAAGGGCAGCCGGGGTTACGAAGGGGAGAATCGACGTTTTCCCGACAGGACGTTCCCGGGAAGGACAGTCCTCCGTGGGAGGGGCCCAGGCTCCGCTTGTGAAAGTTCGTCATCCGTTGGCTCATCTGCACCCCGTCTTTGCTCCTTGCTTTGAACGGTGTTTGTCAGCACAGCTGGGGAGGGCGGTCGACCTGGGCGGCCATGCGGGGGATGGACCGAGGTGGCGGCTGAGCCGCTTGGACCCCACGTTCCAGCCGGCTTGGGCCAGAGTCTTGCGCGTGGTTTACAGTCGGGTGGTGGTCGGGGGCCCGTGACTGGACCAAGGTGTGTAGCGATCCTCAGAGGAGGCCCTCGGGTGGGCTCTGCACTGGTCCTTCATAGAAACCAGCTCGGGGGAGATGACGTAAGAAATGACTGTTGGTCAGACACCAACCGGAGCGGACGAGGGTAAGTGGGAGACCTGCGGGCAGCCCGCGCCCAGGACGGAGGGAGCTTTCCCGGGTGATTGTGAATAAAGATGTATTTTCCTTTCTCTTGACTTTCCGTCCCACGTGCTCTATCCGCTAGTTTCTGAAACCGATGTTGACAAGAGGCAGTTGATTTTCAGCCCATTTTCACCCGGTGGCCTGGGCACCCGCCGGTTCCCAGGAGGACCCAGGAGGAGCCGGCCCCTGTGCTGGGTCCCGGGTGACCTTGGGGAAGGCACCTGGAGCCGCTGGGATGCCTTTCACATCAGGTCCTGCGTCCAGCTCCTGGGGATACTCTGCTTGACATTTCAGAAGACCAGGAAAGAATATCAGAGAGCTGATTGTCCAAACGTCTTTATGGAGTTTCCTAAGCACCACGTTGGTGCCCGGTCTGAGCTGGTCTGCGGGGAGGTTGGTTATCTGGGCTCAAACGGGTAATGCCGGAAGCAGTAACGATGCCCGGGGGGCCGTCTCTGGTCCTCGGGTGACCGTCAAACCCGGTCTTTGGAGCAGGTAACTTGGATGAAATGCAGTCCTGCAGAGACGAGGGGACGGAGGAGTTGGAATCCGGTGGTTCTGGTGTCGGATTTGCATCTTGGGCGTCCCCTCCCCCTTTCCTTCCCCTCCAAGCGCTGACCCCCTGGCTGGGCTCCGGCCGGCCTCCCGCCCCTGCAGGTGGAGCCAGGATTACATCTGCGTCTTTGCGTTTTGAATCCAGGTGTCTGCCGAGTCCAGCTCCTCCATGAACTCCAACACCCCGCTGGTCAGGATAACCACGCGGCTCTCCTCCACCGCCGACACCCCCATGCTGGCGGGGGTCTCGGAGTACGAGCTGCCCGAGGACCCCAAGTGGGAGTTCCCAAGGGACAAGTGAGTAGTTCCGCCGGGCACATCCCCGAGTGGACGGAGACCTGGGCATAACGGGGGGGGCNGCATCCCCGAGTGGACGGAGACCTGGGCGTAAGGGGGGGCGTTGGGTTGACGTTTCCTTTAATGACCCTTAACTTGAGGGTCTTGCTGTGATGTCAGCAGACATGTGCGAGGTGATGTATCTGAAGNGTGTGTGAGGTGATGAATCTGAAGAACCAGCTCTCAGAAAAGGGCCGATTCGCGCTTCTCTCCCCCTTTTAAAAATAATTCTTTTAAAAGAAGACCTACTAAGCNACATCCCCGAGTGGACGGAGACCTGGGCATAACGGGGGGGGCGTTGGGTTGACGTTTCCTTTAATGACCCTTAACTTGAGGGTCTTGCTGTGATGTCAGCAGACATGTGCGAGGTGATGTATCTGAAGAACCAGCTCTCAGAAAAGGGCCGATTCGCACTTCTCTCCCCCTTTTAAAAATAATTCTTTTAAAAGAAGACCTACTAAGCCTTGGATGGTCCCCAAACAAGATGGCACCTTGCTGGCCTTTTTTTTTTTAACTTTCTAGACAATTCACACCCAGTCAAATGGAGTAAAAGTGGGATCATCCCACTTGTTAAAAAGCCCTGGCGTCTGCCTTCTGGTTCCTGGGACATGACTGTTCTGTGGTCCATTTCTTTGGAGAAAATGGGTGTAGAATAGAAGTTGTTTTAAGAATCTTTGTCTAGCATTCCTGTTTTTAATGGTTATTAATGCGCCATCAGGCCGAGAAGCTTCGATATGGTGCCTGACATTGAGTTTCCCGTGAGTCACAATATCGTCCCTGTTGGATGACTCGGGGGGTCCGGTCATGCTGGGTCAGGGCCTGGCCCTCTGGGCTCTGCTGGGAGCTGTTTACCTCCTGGTCTGGCTTCAGGTCCATGTCCTTTGGGCTCCAGGAGGCTGGGCTTAAGCCAGGGGCTGGGCAACCTCTCGTGTCCCCTGACGCTCTGGGCTTCCTTCCTGTGCAGTGACGGTCACGGTGCAGCCCTCCCAGGGCGAGCGCCGTTCTGGGCTCCCGTGCGGGCCCTTCCCCTTTCCTTTCCCCTCGTGTCCTGCTGACCTGGAGCTCTGGGCCGCAAACCTCAGCAAGACGCTGGTGCTGGGCAGAGGGGCAGAGGGTCAGTGCGCAAGGTCTTTGGGCTTCAGCCCCCCGCCTCCTGGGCAGGGCCGCCTCCCAGGCCCACCTCCTGAAGTGAGTTGGCTGGTCATTGAAGGGCCTCAGCGCTCTCCTGGGCTCCTCTGGTGGTGGGTAGAGTCCGAGAGGAGCAGAGGGTGGAAGCCACTGGCACCTCTGCCTCGATTGGCTGGAAGAAGCTCGGGCACCTGCCCCGTCTGTCCTGACGTGTGTAGCTCTGCCCTGAGAGTCCATCAGAGGAGTGTTTAATTACTGCCCAAGGAACTCGTCCACAGATCTGGAAATCCTGCCGGGATCAGCTTTCCCAGAGCTCTGGGAGGAGAGGGGCCTTGCACGGCGCTTGTTCTTCTGATTCACTCACCTCCACCCGGCTGTGTTTCGCAGCAGCCGGCGCAGAGAGATTAACGTGCACCTAAGCTAGGACCACACAGATATCCTCCCATAGAGTGTCCATGGAATAACTTCCAGTTTTTTGGGGTACTGCAGTGAGACCATTCACCCCTTCATTCATTCACCCCTTCATCCATCCATCCATCCATCCATCCATCCATCCATCCATCCAGAACTTGTTTACTGAGCATGTACAGGTGAGGCACCAGAGGAAACACACAGGATGGTTTCTTTACCTGTAGGATGTGGAGAGAAGGGGGTGCCTCTCTCGAGCCCCCCGGCTCCCTGGTTCGATTATGCAAGTAGGCGGGTTCACGCCCGCGTTCCTATGTCTATTTTAGGGCCCAGTTGGGGAGCTGTGACCATATTGTAAGAAATCGCAGCTCTCGGGTCCGGCCCGTAGTCCTCGCCACCTGCGACACCGCCGTCAACAGTGGGAGCCTGTGCCTGCCGGACTGCTCGCTCCCACCCGGGGGTGCCCCGGGAGTGGAAAATCTGAGTGCTCAGCGTTTCAGAACAGTATTTAGCACAAAAGTAGGTGGGGCGGGTTTCCAGTGAATGAAGGCTACTTAGGAGCCGTTTATTAGATTGAAGGCAGCAGTTACACAAAGGAAGGATTGTTGGGCTGTGGTAGCCGGGCCTAGGGACATAAATTAGCCATTTTTCCAATGCAAATGTTTGTTTTCTGCCAGGACATTAAATTTAATTTTAGTTTGGCATGGAAACAGAATGACCTCAGCAGTGTAGTGTACGTTGCCCTCGGTCCTCGCTTAGCTTTTGCAAACCTTGGTACACCTACGACCGGGGTCAGCTAGCGCTTGGCTTATGTGAAAAGCCGCATCCGTACGGATTCTGGAGACCTCTTCATTCTGTTAATAACCAAGGACAAGGCACGGCTGTTCACAGGATGTGTCTGGAGCTTCTGAGCCTAGAAATGTCGCTTGTTGCTCACTTCGGATTTCCTTCGTTATTAATTTTGGGGAGTCATAAAGATTTCTAGGCTGTTATGTCAAAAAAAAAAAAATTCACCCCAAGTTTTAGATTTTTTTCTTTTTGGCCTTTAGTGAAAAATTAGAGATTCCTTGAAAATTAGAAATTCCTTTAAGATCCATACCCTGTATCTTGGCCTCAGACTGTGACCGTAAAATCCATTGGTATTTGGATAATAGCGATTTTAAAGACATCACAGAGACAAAAATTAAGAGCGGCCGTTAGGTTTTCTTGGAGACATTCTGAATGACGAACGTTCAGTAGTGACGAGCTCCTTCTTGCCGGCACAGAGGGAAGCTGGCCGCCTCCTCGGCAGGGGTGCCTTCCGTAAAGAAAACAAACCCAGAATACGAATGTGAAATTTAATCGCCATTCCGCCAGTAATTGACATTCCCTAAAACGTCACTAAGAAAACACTCAGGCGCGCGTGGTCCCCCTGTCTCATTAGTTCCATATGATAAGTGCCCTGTGCTCCAGGAGCTGCTGAAAGATTTTTATATCTGGCCTGGAATTCCCCTCGCTGCCCCCTCACCAGAGGCCGCCTGCTAATCCCCTGTTTTCACACCCAGGCTGACGCTGGGCAAGCCCCTGGGGGAAGGCTGCTTTGGGCAAGTGGTCATGGCTGAGGCCGTGGGGATCGACAAGGAGAAGCCCAAGGAGGCCGTCACCGTGGCGGTGAAGATGCTGAAAG